AAGACATTAAGTTCTTGAGGAAGGGAAAAAAAAAAAGCAACAAAAATGCATGTCTGCTTAGCAAAGCTGCAACAGAAGCAACCAGAAATAATTGCTAGATTAGATTCCATCCTCTTATCTATACCACAATATGTCCCTACTTGCCCATGAAAAATAAACTGGCATTGCCAGATTAGCCAAACCACTGACATCTTGCCACCACTACCTACCTACTTGATGGCAGAGACCAATTTTGCTCACCAGGAAAAATAAGCAGAACAGCAGACAAGAATTTATTCTATCCTGATACTTGGCATTTATTTCATTTGCATCAAACTAGATAAGCAAACTTTGGGGGTAAGTTTCTACCTTGGACAAAATGTAAATCAAAGAATCTCTGTGTAAAACTTAGTAAGCTGCAGAACTAAAGATAAGAATCTTTGGAGAGGAAACAAACAAACAAAATAACAAGTTAGCATGAAAATCATGCAATCAAATGAACAACACAAGTTTAATCGTTCAGAAAAGAGATCGAAAAGCAATAAAGCGATCATGGGGTTGGAAAGATCTGAGATTTAAAACTTCATTTAATCGGGAATGAAGAGGGTAAGAGAGTGCAAACATCAGGAGGTACAAATAGTGGACGAAGAGGGCTAAAAATACTGTCAGTAGGTATAAGTAGTACAAGAGCATGTTGACTAAGAACAAAAAAAAACACAGACTGAACAGAACAAAGAGCTTTGTGAGAGCAATTTCAGAGCACAATATATTAATCTTCCACAGAAAGCAATGCAAACACATTTGTTTGGGAAATTCAGAACAAGAACAGATGAAAATAAACATACACTAATCGCAGAGGCTAGCCAGAGTCGGGAACTGGTGTTTCAGAAGCAGGTAAAAATGTAGGCTTATACAGAATCAGCCAACATTAGAGGTTGGAAGGGAACTCTGGAACTCATCTGTTCCAGTCCCTGCCCCAGCAGCAGGGCGCCAGGCCCACGGCCAAACAGCTCTTGGAGATTCAGCTCTTGGAGATTTCTAAGGAAGAGTCTGCACAGCCTCTCTGGGCAGCATGTGCCCTCTCTACGCACCTACAAATAACAATTCAGGTGTTTATAGAATTTGATAAAATAGACAGCTGAGTCTCCTCTCCTCCAGGCTGAACAGCCCCAGCTCTCCTCCCAGGTGAGGCACTCCAGCCTCCAGCACACTGGTGGCCCTTCATCGGGCTCCTACCAATACAACCATCTTTCTCGTACTGGGGAGCCTGGAACAGGAGCCAGCACTCAGCAATGTTGAGTAGAATGGAATGATCACCTCTCTTGACCCGCTGGCAATACTTTGCCTAACGGAGCCCTGGATACCATTAGCCTTCTCAGCAGCAAGAGCACATCGCTCGCTAGGAAGCTAAGCCTAGATGAAGGCAACACAGCGACTGCACCGTGCACTTTCGGGGCTCAGGAAAAGGTCACACGAGAGCTAGATACGACCCGCAAACACAAGACTGCTCATAACCCCCGACCGTACCCACACCACGCTCCAGCGACCGAGCTCAGGAGACGGCGCTCCGGGGCCGTGGGCGGGGAGAGGCGACTCCGCGCGCCCCCAGCGGCCGCCACCGCGCCACACACCTGGTCTCTTGGTTGCTGAACTTCTTGGTGACCACCTTGCCCAGCTCCAGCCCCAGGCGGTCGGCCACTCGCTGGGACAGGTCGTGGTGGGAACTGCCGCTGAACAGCACGATGTTCGGCATAGCGTAAGGGATGGAGAGGGGGGGGGGAGGTGACGGCGAGCGAGCACTCCTGCAGCCGGGACAGAAAGAGAACGATTTCCCCCGGCGCGGGGTCAAATAAGCGGTGCTGCGGGACCGCCTCTGTCCTGCCGGGAGCGGGGGGGCGGGGCGGGGCGGGGCGAGCCGGGGACGGATGCAGAGTTGGTGGTATGGCAGTAAGAGGCTGAACTTTCCCACCAATATCCCCTTACGTGTTGTTGCCGTGTGACAGATGGCAGCAGAGGGGCAGTCTGACACAGGGATGTCTGGCATGGAAATGTGGATGAAGCAAAGGGGTGGGAACTGAATTCCTCCATTCCTCCACGGGGGAACAACAGCACCCACTGATGCTCAACGACATTTGCTGAATGTTGGTGGAGGCCAACCAGAGAATGTGAGCACAGCGAGGGGTGGGTGGCGAATCACTGTGAAGCTGTGGGTCACCTCCACTGGTGCTCATATTTTTATGAGCATGATATGCAGTCTCTACTTCAGTGCTGTCAAAAATGCTAATGGTGGTGACAGCGTTGAAAAACAGTGTTCTGTAAATGAGAACTTGCTCTATCAAACAGTGTTATTGTGCTCTTTGTGTCTGTTATTGTCTCCGTGGAAATAAATACAAGGCATTACTTTTGGAGTGAGCTACGCAGTATTTGCTACCAGAGGTGTCCTTGAATAATCCAAAGTTAGCGTTATAAATATGCCACTCATTTTCCACTAACATGTTTATTTTTCTCAGTTACTGCTTAGAAATAAGTTCTACCCACAAACTGCTGTCAGAATACCAAACGAAGACAAAAAGTTGTTAGCTTCCAGATGAAGAATTTTTGCTTTTCTGTATAACAATAAATGGAATGCACAAGGTAAGTGACATAAAACCCACGTCATTTTTCATGACTTATGCAAAAAAGAGCAGAGTTCTGAGCATAGTGCTTCTTAATACTTCATTGGGATCACTCATGATCATATCATCCCCAGCACTGCATAGTTCATCCCTATGGTCAGTTTTAAAGCTAGTCAAAAGGTCCTATCAAAGTAATTTTTCAACTGTTTAGTGGATTTTCAATAAAATGGAATTTCTGAAAATAAATTTTCTGAACAGAAATTTTCTTCCCCCTCTCCCTCCCTTTTTAAAAATCTTTTCATTTTCTTCTAGTAAGGAACTTTCTCCATCAAAATAAATAAAAACAAACAAACAAATAAATAAAATCACTTCTAAAAGAACAAATGTGAATATATGTTCCAAAATGAATGTTTTAACCAACAGCTGAGTAATAAATAGGTTGACGTAAGGAGCTAGGAGTTAATAGTTTGATTGCCCTTCTCCAAGGTCTAAGCCATCCAGCCATGTGTATATATATATATATGTATATATATATATATATATATATATATATGTATATGTATATATACCATGGACATTTCTTGCTAAATATTGTTTAATTGTAGAGGCAGTATATGTAATCAGGGGGCACAACTATGGGAAGAATAAGTATTGACTTCCCACAACATAACTTCAGAATCTATTTCCGTATTTGATCATAGAATCATAGAATGGCCTGGGTTGAAAAGGACCTTAATCATTTAGTTCCAGCTTCCCTGCTGTGGGCAGGGTCGCCAGTCCCTAGACCAGGCTGCCTAGAACCACATCCAGCCTGGCCTTAAATGCCTATAGGGATGGGGCATCCATAAGCTCTCTGGGCAACCTGTTCCAATGTATTACCACCCTGTGAATGAAAAACTTCCTCCTCATATCTAACCTAAATGTTCCCTGTCTCAGTTTAAAGCCATTCTCCCTTATCCTATCACTATCAGCCCATGCAAACAGTCATTCTCTCTCGTGTTTATATGCTCTCTTTAAGTACTGGAAGCCCACATTGAGGTCTCTACCAATCCCTTTCATGTCTTTCCAAGGGATGCAAAGTCTCTGATGTTCTGCCGTTTCCTCATGGCACCCTCCCATGACCCTACTTGAATGACAACAAGCAGATGGTGGATGAACTGGGAACTGCTGTTGAGACTTCAGAAGAAAAAGAGAGCCTATGTCCTCTGGAAAAAGGGAAAAGCTACTTGGGGAGATTACAAAGATGTTGCTAAGGTATGCAGAGTGGAAGTTAGGAAGGCAAAAGCCCAACTTGAACTCAGATCAGCCACTGCAGTAAAAAAGAATAAGAAATCCTTTCACAGATATATCAGTGGTAAGAGAAGAACCAAGGAGAACTTCCACCTTTACTTGATGCAGCAGGGAATGTGACTGCTGAGGATAAGGAAAAGGCTGAGGTCCTCAATGCTTTCTTTACATCTGCCTTTAATAGTCAGATCAGTTATCCTCAGGGCACTTTACACCCTGATCTGGAAGTCTGGGCTGGTTCTTAGAATACAACCCTATGATTAAGGTGGGGACAGTTAGAGAGCTCCTCTTCCATCTGGACTGTCACAAGTCCATGGGACTGGATGGGCTCCATCCTAGGGTGCTGAGGGAGCTGGCAGAGTTGATTACTGAGCCACTCTTTGCCATCTACCAGCGCTCCTGGTTGTCTGGAGAGGTCCCAGAGGATTGGAGACTTACCAATATGACTTCCATGTACAAGAAGAGCCATAGGAAGGACCTGGGGAACTACAGGCCTCTCAGCCTGACTTCGGTACCTAGGAAAGTTATGAAGCAAATCATCTTGGGTGAGATCACACAGCACATGCGTGGCATCCAGAGGATCAGGCCCAGCCAACACGGATTCATGAAAGGCAGGTTATTCTTGACCAACCTCATCTTCTCCTATGACTGGGTGACCAGACTGGTAGACGAGGGAAAGGCTGTCAGTGTAGTCTACCTAGACTTCAACAAAGCCTTTGACATGGTCTCTCACAGTATTCTCCTGGGGAAACTGGCTGCCCGTGGCTACTAGACAGGTATACCCTTCTTTGGGTATGGAACTGGCTAGAAGGCTGTGCCAAATGGGTAATAGTTAATGGAGTTAAGTCCAGCTGGCAACCCGTTACAAGTGGTGTCCCCCAGGGGTTGGTACTGGGGCCTATCTTGTTTAATATCTTTACTGATGACCTAGATGAGGGGATTGAGCATACCCTCAGTAAGTTTGCAGATGACACCAAATTGGGAGGTAGTGTTAATCTGCCTGAGGGTAGGGATGCCCTTCAGAGGGATCTGGATAAGCTGGATCACTGGGCTGAGGTGAATGGGATGAGGTTCAACAAAGCCAAGTGCTGGGTCCTGCACTTCAGCTGCATTAACCCAATGCGGCATTATAGGCTTGGAGACGAGTGGCTGGATGACTGTGAAGAGGAAAGGAACCTGGGGGTGTAGGTTGATGCTCAGCTGAACATGAGCTGACAGTGTGCCCAGGTGGCCAAGAGTGCCAGCGGCATCCTGGCTTGCATTAGAAATAGTGTGGCCAGCAGGAGCAGGGAGGTCATCATCAGCACTGGTGAGGCTGCAGCTTCAAGAATCGTGTATTCTAGTATTATTCAGTTTTGGGGCTCTCACTACAAGAAAGAAATTGAGGCCCTGGAACGTGTCCAGAGAAGGGCAATGAAACTGGTGAGCAGTCTGGAGCACATGAGGAGCAGCTGAGGGATCTGGGATTGTTCATTCTGGAGAAGAGGAAGGTCAGGGGAGACCTCAATGCAACCTACAACTTCTTGAAGGGAGGTTTTGATGAGGAGAGGTTTGGCCTCTTCTCCCGGGCAACAAACAGGACCCAAGGAAATGGCCACAAGTTGTGCCAGAGGAGATTTAAATTAAACATAAGAAAAACTTTTTCTCTCAGAGAGTGGTCAGGCACTGGAATGGCCTGCCCAGGGAGGAGGTTGGAGTCGCCGTCCCTGGCGTTCAAGAAGCATTCGGATGAGGAGCTATGAGATATGGTAGATTGTGGTAGGAGTGGTAATGGGATGACGGTTGGACTAGATGATCTTGTAGGACTCTTGCAACCTTGTAATTCTAGGACTCTATGATTCTTTGATTCCATGATGGTGGTCTTCTTGTTTGATCAGATGCGATAGAGTCTCCCTAAAGTCTCTGACTCTGGCAAACCTTCAGTGAGTTCAGACACACCACGGGAAGAAGGGTAAGGACAGTGGGCAGCATCTTCTTTTAGAAAACCCGTGCTGCTCAGAGGGTGGCACAGAAGCACTGCTGGGGCCACACTTGAGCCTCCTGAGAGGCTCCTGAGAACTGAGCATAACCAGTGTTTCAACTGGTTTTGCAGGCAGCAGGAGACCTTTCTGCCCGGGAAGCCCAGGAAGAAGGAGCTCTCCAGGAGCTGTGCATGGACATCCTGGGATCACTGGACGTCTCTGTGAGAGGGATGTCCAAAGTAAGTCACGCTCTGCCCTGCTGCTGCTCCCTGCCCCTGTACCACGTGTTCCTCGTCCCATTCCAAGACCCCAGGTCTCTCCTCCAATGTGCTCTGAAGCACACAGGACTCAGGGAAATTCACAGAGTCCTCTTCCTCTCCGAGCAGAGGCAGGAATGCTGACCTGCTCAACTGCCTCGTTCCCTACAGCTCCTGTGGCCGCGGCTGCTGTTGTTTGTGGTGCCAGCGCAGTACACAGGCATGCTGATCCCAGTCTCCCGCTGTGTCTGTGCCCTGGCTGAGAAAGAGGAGCTGACAGGACGGCGCATAGAACACCTGGATCCCCATTTTGTCAGCTCCATGTTTCAAGGTAGGAGCAAAATCTCCCCCAGTGAGCTCTGCTGACCTGTGGTAGCACCCAGAAGGGACAGCGGAGGTGCCCATGGCAAGGCAGGGAGTGTCTTGGAGTCTTAGTCAGCACTTCTTTCTCTTCATAGGCCCACTGCTGACGCTCCAGACCCTGCTGGTGTGCCTGTTGGTGAGTACATGCTCCAGAGGCCAGTGCCACGAGCACCCAGGAGGAAGCAGCATGGCCATGGGCAGAGCCAATCTGCTTCCCTCCTGGCAGAAGCCGCTGTTCTTGCTGCAGAAGTGACCCTGCTTTTTCTTGCTCTCACTCAGGTGGTGGCAGGCAGCCCTGGTGCAGGGAGCAAACTCCAAGCTGCTGCCTTACTGCTGATGAAAAACCTTCACAGCAGGTTCCATAGAGCTGTGGGGGCCATGTGGGCTGCCGAGATCCCCCTGCTGCTGCAGTGCCTCGAAGGTAAAGTGGTGGAGCTGGGAGAGGGACTGTTCTTCCAGGCACCTCTCCCCAGAGGGCTGCAGCAACTTGGGAGTGAGGGAAGAGGCAAAGGGCAAGGGAACATTGTCTTCTCCTGTTCTCCAACAGTTCCTGAGGGCATCACTGGACACAATAGAGGAGAAGGCATGGATCGAGGCCCTGAGCTGTGAGCTGAGCCAGCGGCTGAGCAGCTCTGCCAGCAGCTCTGCAGAAAAGGTGAGCTCCCCCCGGCTCTACCCAGCGGTGCAGCTGCAGGTGTCCAGCTGGGGCTGGGGCTGCGGCTGGTGCTCTGCCCATGCGGGATGCTGATGCTGCTTCTCCAGTCTATGCCCCCCAAAGGGCCTTTCCCTGCAATCTGCCCGGGGATGGCTAAAGCTAAATGGCCTTTCCCTGCAGCTGCTCTCAGCGACTCCCAGCATGGGAGCGTGGGTCCTCCCCACCTAGCCCTCCCCCAGCAGTTTAAGCTGCTGCCACATCTCAGCTTCTTCCTTCCCTTCCCATGCAGTCGTTCCTGTACAAGGCTCTGGGCACAGAGCTGGGATCCTGCAAGGGAGTCCTCCACGTGCAGGAGAAGCTGCTGCAGCACCTGGAGGAGGCAAATGCAGAGGAGCCACGTGAGGCCCAGGTGAGCTCTCCTCTCCTCCAGCTCCTGTGAGCATCCCCTCTCTGGCCGTGGGGCAGAGGCCTTCTCCTGGCCCTGCTCTAGGCCTTTCAACCTCCGCACTGCTGCCATTTTGCTCAGGAGAGGACCTGTAGATTTAGGCCTGTGCCAACGGCCCCTTGTTCTTTTGTGCAGGGAATCATCTCTCTTCTCAGCCATGCTGCTGAGAACAACTTCCACACAGTCCTGGCCACGCTCACCATGTTTGCGTCCAGGCTGTGCAAAGGCCGCAATGCCAGGATTTCCAGGCGCAAGAAGGTAAAGCGTTACGGGTTTCCATCTTGGCATTCTTCTGTCTTGTTTTCCCTACAGCTCCTGCGTTGGGAGCCCAGGTGCATCGCGGGGCACTGGGGGCCGTTAGCGAGTGTCTCAAGGCATTTCTTCCCACACAGATGGAGCTGGACAGCATGAGAGCTCATGCCACACGCAGCGCTCTCATGCTCGCCCACGGCAGTGTGGCACTGCATGCCTCCAAAGAACAGCTGCTCGCCCACCTGGAGGGAGACATCGTGGGCAACGTCCTGATGCTCTACAGCTGCAGCTGCCAGGTGAGAGCTCAAAGCGTGCCAGGGTGTCTGAGCGCCCATCTGCAGCCCCTCCACGTGGGAAGGATGCTGAGATGGGCCTTTCCTTTCCAAAGGTCCCTCGGGGAACTGTTTGTGCCCAGATAAAGATCCAAGCCCTTCCCTTAGCGTTGTCCCCATGTGTGTCCCTTGCAGCCCTTGTCCCTTCCCGCAGTTCAAAGAATGTTCTTCTCTCTTGCTCCTCAGGACTTGCAGAACAACCTTGCTCTGGTGCAGAGCATCACTGACTGCAGCTCTGCCTTCCAAGCTGTGGGTGGTTCTGCAAGCTTTAACCCCTCCTTGAAGAGCAAGCTGCTGGAGATCCTGATGGTGAGTGCCTAGAGACAGGGCTGTCTGCAGAGGAGTTCTGGGCTGTGCCACAAGGCTCGCTTCCCTGGGGGCATGCAGGTCTCCAGCAGCCACACGTCTCCAGCTGGTGGGGACCTCTGCGTAACAGGTTTGAGGCCCTGGAAGTTGAGGGGGGGACGAGTGAGAGTGCGGAGACAGGTTCACCCGTGAGGGTGCCTCAGGCGAAGCGGTCGCCCCCAACCCTCAAAACTGCTTCTACCCGTAAGGACAGGAGGGTGATTGTCATAGGCGACTCCCTTCTGCAAGGAACAGAAGGCCCTATATGCCGGCCCGACCCTACCCGCAGAGAGGTGTGCTGCCTTCCTGGAGCACGGGTCAGGGACATTTCAAAGAAAATTCCTGGGTTGATTCGGCCTTCAGATTATTACCCGCTTTTAATAATTCAGGCTGGCGGCGAGGAAGTTGATAAGGAAAGCCTGAGGTCTATCAAGAAAGACTTCAGGGGAATGGGGCGAATACTTGAAGGAGCTGGGGTGCAGGTGGTCTTTTCTTCTATGCCCGTGGTGTCAGGGAAAGGTACAGAGAGGATCCAAAATACCCAACTCTTCAATAGATGGCTTAAGAGCTGGTGCAGGCGCAAGAATTTCGGCTTTTTTGACCATGGGGCAATTTACACTGCACCTGGCATGATGGCTGCTGATGCATGCAGCCTGTCCCTGAGGGGTAAGAGGATCTTAGCTGAAGAATTAGCGGGACTCATTGACAGGTCTTTAAACTAGGAATGAAGGGGGAAGGGGACAAAATAATGGCTACTGGAGTTGAACGGGTCATTCGAGGGCTTATACCAAACTCCATGGGCAATGACGGCAGAGTGCATAGGGAAGGACTAGGGCAGGGGGATGCTGGGGATGCTGCTGTTCTAGGGGATCCTAGATCCCTTATAAAGGTGGCGAGACGGGTAGCCCGGCTGAAGTGCCTTTATACCAACGCACGCAGCCTGAGTAACAAGCAGGAGGAACTGGAAACTGTGATGCACTCGGGAAGTTATGACCTTGTTGCTATCACAGAAACATGGTGGGATGACTCCCACAATTGGGATACTGCCATCGACGGCTATAGACTCTTTAGGAGAGATAGGCGAGGTAGGAGGGGTGGGGGAGTTGCTCTCTATGTCAGAGATTGGATAAACTGTGAGGAGCTCCCTACGAGAAGCAGTCAGGAACAGGTTGAGAGCCTGTGGGTTAGGATTAGAGATGGGACAAATATAGGTCAGCTGGTGTTAGGGGTATACTACAGACCACCTGATCAAGGGGAGGCTGTTGACGAGGCTTTCTTGCTCCAGATGCGTGAGATGTCTGGCTCACGGGCTCTTGTCCTGGTGGGGGACTTCAACCATCCGGACATTTGCTGGGAAAACCACACGGCGAGCTGCAAGAGCTCCAGAAGGCTCTTGGAATCCATTGATGATAGCTTTCTGGTTCAGGTATTGGACAGACCAACCAGAGGTGAAGCGTTGCTGGACCTGCTGCTCACCAACGCCGAGGAGATCATCAAAGGCGTCAAGGTTGGAGGCTGCCTGGGCTCCAGCGACCACGCCCTGGTTGAGTTTGTGATCTCAAGGGATGTGGGCCTGGCAAAGAGCAGGACCAGGACACTGAACTTCAGAAGAGCAGACTTCAAGCTACTCAATGGATTGCTGGCCAAGATCCCCTGGCGCGCTGCCCTCAAAGACAAAGATGTTGAGGAGAGCTGGCGGCTCTTCAAAGATGCCCTCCTGGAAGCACAAGAGGTCTCCATTCCTCTGAATAAGAAAGTGGGCAGGCGAGGTAGGAAACCGGCTTGGCTCAGCAAGGACCTGCTGAGAGAACTGAGGGCGAAGAAAGGGGTGTACAAGCTCTGGAAACAAGGCTGTGTCACCTGGGAAGAGTACAGGAATGCCGTCCGGACTTGCAGACGTGGGATCAGGGAAGCCAAGGCGCAGGCAGAACTGAACTTGGCAAGAGACGTGAAAAACAATAAGAAAACCTTCTACAGGTACATTGCCCAGAAGAGACAGGCCAAAATGGGCGTACCTACTTTGGTAAATTTAAAAGGAGAACTGGCTTCAACAGATGAAGAGAAAGCTGAGGTGCTGAATGAGTTCTTCACCTCGGTCTTCACTGGTGGCCAGGATTCTAGTCTTTTTCACGTTCCTGAACCCTGCATCCCCAAACCTCTATGTGGGGACCAAGGAGGTAAATCCCTCCCCACTGTAAGGGCAGAGCAAGTCCGAGAGTGCCTCCTTAGACTGAATGAATACAAGTCTATGGGGCCGGATGGCGTGCATCCCAGGGTCCTGAAGGAGCTGGCTGAGGTGGTTGCCGAGCCGCTCTCCATCATATTTGAGAAGTCGTGGCTGTCAGGTGAGGTCCCGAACGACTGGAGGAAGGGTCATGTCACTCCCATATACAAGAAGGGGAGCAGGGAGGACCCGGGGAACTACAGGCCGGTGAGTCTCACCTCCGTGCCTGGGAAGATCATGGAACAGATCCTCCTGGACAACATGCTCGGTCACATAAAGAATGAGCATGTGATCCGAGACAGCCAGCACGGCTTCACCAAAGGAAGGTCATGCCTAACTAATCTTGTGGCCTTCTATGATGGAGTGACGGCATTGGTGGACGAAGGGAAGGCGACCGATGTCATTTACCTGGACCTGAGCAAGGCCTTTGACATGGTCCCCCACCACATCCTCATCTCCAAATTGGAGGGAAGTGGATTTGATGGGTGGACGACCCGATGGATAAGCAATTGGTTGAAAGGCCGCAGACAGAGGGTGGTGGTCAATGGCTCTATGTCCAGGTGGAGGCCGGTAACAAGTGGTGTCCCCCAAGGGTCTGTCTTGGGACCGGTGCTCTTTAACATCTTTATTAATGACATCGATGAGGGAATTGAGTGCACCCTCAGCAAGTTTGCTGACGACACCAAGCTGAGTGGTGCGGTTGATACGGTGGAAGGAAGGGATGCCATTCAGAGGGACCTCGACAGGCTGGAGGGCTGGGCTCGGGTGAACCTGATGAGGTTAAACACGGCAAAGTGCAAGGTTTTGCATTTGGGCTGGAAGAACCCCAGGCACCTGTACAGGCTGGGAGGAGCGGTCCTTGAGAGCAGCTCTGTGGAGAAGGACCTAGGGGTCCTGATGGACGAGAGACTGAATATGAGCCAGCAGTGCGCTCTGGCAGCTCGAAAGGCAAATGGGATCCTGGGCTCCATCAGGAGAGGGGTGGCCAGCAGGGACAGGGAGGTGATTGTCCCTCTCTACTCGGCTCTTGTGAGGCCCCATCTGGAGTACTGTGTCCAGGTGTGGAGCCCTCAGTACAAGAAAGACATTGAGATTTTGGAAAGGGTCCAGAGGAGGGCAACTAAGATGATCAGGGGGCTGGAGCACCTCCCCTATGAGGACAGGCTGAGGGAGTTGGGCTTGTTCAGCCTGGAGAAGAGAAGGCTGCGGGGTGACCTCATTGCAGCCTATCAATACCTGAAGGGAACCTACACCCAGGAGGGGAGTAAACTCTTCAAAAGGGCTGATAACAGCAGGACTAGGGGAAATGGTTTTAAGTTGAAGGAGGGAAGATTTAGGTTGGATGTTAGGGGGAAGTTCTTTACTAGGAGAGTGGTTAGGCCCTGGAACGGGCTGCCCAGGGAGGTTGTGGATGCCCCGTCCTTGGACGTGTTTAAGGCCAGGTTGGATGGGGTCCTGGGCAACCTGATCTGAATGTGTATGTTTGGTGGCCCTGCTAGGCAGGGGGGTTGGAACTACATGATCCTTGAGGTCCCTTCCAACCCGGGTGATTCTGTGATTCTGTGTGATTCTGTGACCTTGGGTGCTGGCAGGCAGCGGCTGGGCAGCGGGCTGGGTGCACCAGCTACTGCATCCTGCAGTGCTTCCATGGGAAAGTGATGGGGCTGGTGTGTGGCAGTTGTGCCTGTCTTGAGGCCGGGTGGAACAGCTCTTGTGTGCCCCCTGCCCACTTTGACAGTGTGTCTCTGGGACTTGCAGGACCTGCTGAAGAAGTATTACTCGGGCATGCCTGTCTCCCCAATGCCTCTCAAGGCGGTTCTGGCCCTGGAGCAGTTGAGGTAAGGCCTGAGGTTGCAAGTCAGGATGGTGATCCCCATTTTGGGTAGCTCCTGAGGGCCTGGAGAAGGCAGGGGTAAGGAGCTGCATCTACAGGAGAGACGGCTGGGCTGTTGTGCCTGGCGAACTGCGGTTCTGGGCAGGGAGAAAGGCCCTGGTGCTCCTGTCCCTTGGCAGGGAAGGGAGGGAGAGCAGGAGGTGGTTCACTGCTGCTGGGGAGGAGGTGGGCGCTGCTGGAACTGAAGACAGTGCTTAGCAACATGAGCTGGGTGGGGGTATTGGCTTTGTAGCTGTCAATTAGGAGAAATTCAGATGTTGTCTGAACCAGTCTGGAGAGCACTGGTAAAGGCCCTTTCTGATTTCTCTTCCTTTTTTCCTCCTCTCAGCAAGCTGAAGCCTTCTTTCGAAAGCAAGGACCTGCGTGTGATGTTGGTCCTGTGCTGCAAGAACATCGTGACATATCCTTCAGCAGAGAAGGCACAGTGAGGTCTCTTCAGAGCCTTCTCTTCTCCAGCTAAACAAGCCCAGTCTCCTCAACCTTTCCTCGTACGACATGTGTTCCAGTCCTCCGATCATCTTAGCGGCCCTCCTCTGGACCTGATATAAGAGCTCTGCATATTTCTTGTGCTGGGGCCTCCAGGCCTGGATGCAGTACTCCAGATGGGGCCTCACAAGAGCTGAGTAGAGGAGGACTACCATCTCTCTTTCCTTGCTGGCCTCCCCTGTTTTAATGTAGCCCAGGATATAGTTGCTTATGGGCTTCAAGCACATGATGCTTGCTCATATCCAACTTCTCATCCACCAGGACTCCCAGAATATTCACAAACATTTATGCGATCCCCCCTCAGCCCTCCTTTCCCCATGATGAACAGACTCAGGTCCCACCATGTCTCATGTGTGATTGCCATGACATCACCCCCCT